CCCTTGCAAACCCTTCACTCACCAGAGTTTTCAGACATGGGTGCTTTCTCTAGTCCAAGTAGCCAAACACTGGAAATCTACAGTGAAGCTCGTGTTTGGATGGTGATGGAGGATGAGGGACAGAGGGAGCAAGGCAGTCTCTTCAGAGCACGTGCTGCTGCTTTCCCTGAGCCTGAGTTCCCTCAGGAGGAGGCCCGCACGTGCTCCCCAGACACCAGGCCTCCGTGGGGAGGGGCTTAGCGGTCCTGTCAGCTCCTGGATGAAGGCCTGCTCACTCGTGCTGTTCTACCACAGCAGAGCTCAGAAGGGTGACTGAGGGAGTAAAGCACGATAGCGTCGTATAAAAATATATTTAAAATTTAGGGCTAGGGCTCAGGGGGAGAGGCCTTCCATGAGTGAGCTCCTGGATTCAATCCCTAGCACATACCCAGGTGTACCCACGTGCACACACACAGACCTTAAAATTATTTCACAGAGAAAACACGTTTGTTATAGGTAGGCAAAGAAGAAAGTCTAAATTACTTGTAGTCCACCACCACAGTGTAACCAGTTGTGCATTTTCGTTTCCTATTGTTGTGACAAATATCCTTATGGAAATCGGTCTGAGGGGAGTGGAATGGTTTGTTTTAGCTCAGAAGACTAGGTTACATCAGAGCACAGAAGTAAGTAGAGGCAACGGGAACTTGCTAGTCAAGAGCAGAAGAAATGGTTCGTGTGTGCTTACTAGTGCTCAGCCCACTTCCCACTCTTAGACAGTTCCGGACCCACCCCAGGATCCGGTGCTGCCCACAGTGGGCTGAGTCTTCCCACACAAATGAACACAGTCAAGACAGTCTCCCCCAGACAGGCCCGCAGGCCAGCCTCATCTAAACAGTCCTTCAGTGAGGCTCTCTTCCCGGGGTTCCAGACTGTCAAGATGACAGTTAAAACTGACCATCACACATTTTTGCTGTTGCTTTTGTTTCTTGAGGCCGGGTCTCACTGTGTAGCCCTGGCTCACCTGGAACTCACCAAGATCCATCTGCCTCTGTTTCCCAAGTACTGGGACTGACAGCATGCATGGCCTCAGACCAGTTTTTGTTTTTTGAATGTATATTCTTCCAGAGTTCTAGATATTCAATCATATTGTACTTTGTTATTTTCTAGCATTTCATGTAATTAGGGAAACATTTTCATAACTCTGTAATGACTGGGTAATAGTTTGTTGTAAGATGTACCATCATTTATATCACAGCCCCTCCTCCCTCACATTTGAACTTCTAAGTTCTGCTCTTAAAAACAGGAAGGTAGCAAACATTCTTACAGTGTGCTCCTTGGACACACTATCACTTAACTGTGGAGGGTCAGTTCCTAGAAATGGCCCCGTCTGGCTGATCCATAGATTATGCATGGGCCAGGCAGATGGCAGTAGATAGAGCCTGGCAGATGGCAGTAGATAGAGCCGCCAGGCAGATGGCAGTAGATAGAGCCAGGCAGATGGCAGTAGATAGAGCACTTGCTGTGCAAGCCTGAGGACCAGACTGCAGATCCTCAGCACCATATAAACTCTGGGCAGTCATGGCAGCTGCCTGGAATCCCAGCACTCGGGTGGCAGAAACCAGAGATGCCCTGGGCAAGCTTCCTAGCCAGACTAGCCAGAATTGGTGAACTCCAGGTTCAACCAGAAACTACCTCAATAAATAAAGTAGAGATCCATCAAAGAAGAGGCCTAACGTCAACTTCAGGCCTCCACATAAGCCTGCACACACATGCATGCTCACCCAGGAATGTGCATGCACACCTGCCACACACATGCACATTCACATGTACAAATGTGTGTGCACACCACACATACATATACTGTTAATAGATAGTATAACCCCAAATAATAGTTGTCACAATAAGTGAATATTTTCTTTTACTTTTTAGATTTTTTTTGAAACAAAGTCTTACTGTGTGTGTGTGTGTGTATTATAGAAAGTTTGAGCCATGCAGCCTGGTAGTATGGGCCTGTATTCCAGCTACTCCAGAGCCTAAAACAGGAGGATCCCAAATTCAGGTCCTGCCAGGGGTACAGAGTGCGTGCAAGGCTAGCCTGGGCAACTTTGGGAGACCTCTGTCAAAAAGCAAAAGGTGGGCTGAGATATAGCCCAGTAGCAGAGTACTTGGCTGGCATGTGCAGCACCCTGGGTTTGATCTCCAGTACCACCAAAACAAAATTTTAAAACCCAAAACAACAACAAAAACAAACCAGAAATCTGAGGCAAGGTGTCTCACATCTGTATCCCAGCACTTGAGTGGGGTGGAGGAAAGGAGGGCAAGACAGGAAGATCTGGAAGCTCAAGGCCAGCCTGGGTTACATGAAATCCTGTCTCAAACAAACAGAAACAGGAAAGAAAGAAACTAAAACAGAAGGATCCCAAATTCAGGTCCTGCCAGGGGTACAGAGTGCGTGCAAGGCTAGCCTGGGCAACTTTGGGAGACCTACGTCAAAAAGCAAAAGGTGGGCTGAGAGGTGGGATGTGGCTCAGTGGTAGAACACTTGCCTTGCATCCATAAAGTCCTGGGTTTGATCTCCAGAACTAGAGTTAAAAAGAGGAAACTAGACAAAAATAAAATACCTTCACTAATAGACCTGGTACTCAAAGATAACCAAAACTAGCAATTGTTTTGATTTTATTTTAACTTGATGGTTCTGCTCTGTATAGGACTTTGCAACTTTCCCCCAGTGAGTATTAACCTGTGCTACTACATTTCTTATATAAGTGGACGGTTTCTAATTTTTTTTTTTTTTTTTTTGGTTTTTCGAGACAGGGTTTCTCTGTGTAGCTTTGCGCCTTTCCTGGAACTCACTTGGTAGTCCAGGCTGGCCTCGAACTCACAGAGATCCGCCTGCCTCTGCCTCCCGAGTGCTGGGATTAAAGGCGTGCGCCACCACCGCCCGGCCTGGGTTTCTAATTTTATAAGGCTTCTGGTTTTCTTTTCTAGGAAAAGGAATCTGCAAGCATTAATACGTCAGGGGCCGGGGAGATAGTTGAGTTCACAAAGTGCTTACTGTCCAGCACGAGGTCCTGAATCCAATCCCCAACACCATGTGAAAAGCCAGGCGTTGTAGCCCATGCTCAAAATCCCAGCCCTGGGGAGGTGGAGTTAGGGCATCCCTAGAACTCATTGGCCAAGACATCCTAGCCAAAAATATGATCCCCGGGTTCCAGTGAGAGACTCTCAAAACCCAAAATGGATAGCTATCCTGAGGAACAACACCCAGAGCTGACTTTACGTGCATGTGCACACACACATGCGCACACATATATACATGCATACAAGTTGGTAAGTCAGCACATTTCTATCCATGGTGCTAACAAATGATGCTTTAATCAGAGCAAACTTTCTCTCTGCCACCCAGAATATGGGGAGGACACTTGTCCTCATCCATGCATTTGCCACAGTCTTGCTTCTCACCCCTCCTAGGTGCCAGAACTGGGAAGGTGGCATTGGCGGGGTGCCAGGGATGGAAGCCCATGGCGGCTACACCTTCTGTGGCTTGGCTGCGCTGGTAATCCTCAAGAAGGAACGCTCTTTGAACCTGAAGAGCTTGTTGGTGAGTAGCTGTTACACCACCCCCTCCCCAGCCCAGGTTTGCTGCTGTGCCTCTGATCTGGGACCATAGGGAGGTCTGTGATGGGAAGGGCTGCCAGAGCCGTGAGTGCACAGACTCTAGTCCCAGGACGAGGCTTCAGGTGGGGTTGCTGGTGCTCAGCACAGTTGTGAGTCAGCTGAAGGAGTTCACAGCTGCCCTCGGTCTCCGGTCCTTCTCCTACCTCTCCCTCTGACTGCTTTGAAGTTTCTGTAGACCCTGAGTGGTCTTGAGTCCTCTGGCCACCTGGAATGAGCCAGAGGACTTTCCCCCATACCCAAGAAAAATAGCTATGGATTTAGAATTATCATGTGTCTTAGAGTCTCCTAAGAGAAGAAGCTATGAAAAGAGCTTTGAAGCATTTTAAGGCCAAAGATTTATCACCTGTGAAAATTTTATTACCTGTGAAAATTCTGTATCTGCATTCCAGTGAGTTCTCCAGGCAGTGAGAACTCTCCAGGGGGCATGGGGGGTGCTATCAGGAGGTCTGGACATCTCTTCTAGACCCCCAAGCTCTTGGCCAGTGTTCAGAAATCAGTCAGCTTAAGGGAAGGCTAGAACACACAGATGTATTCTCTTTGTCTTTTGGCGAGCATGCGCTCCCCTGGCCATCATCAAGGTAAAGCAGCCCCAGCTGACATCCAGCGAGCAGGTGCCAGGCCTCATTGTGGAGCCCCGTGAGCCCGCTGGAGAGCTCCGTTTGTATTCTGTGGTGTAACAAGCAGCATTTGCCCTCAGTGTGAGAGGAAGCCTCTCACACGGCACACTCTATGAAGGTTCTGGAAAAGTGATACTGAATGACCAGCTCTGTACATGTATTTTAAAATCTGATCACCACCAAGAGATGAAGTGTAAAGTCCCATGTTGTAGGCAAAAATAAGGAACATGGTAGTGCATGCCTAAGTTATAATGACAATAACTGTAGGCTTGGACCCCGCCTCTGCCCCTCAGCCAAGAACCCCTGGCCAGCTGTCTAATCTGCTTTAGCTGTACTGTTTCTTCCTTCTGGAAGGTAGGAATAATAATCCTTATTCTTTGAGGGTTAAAGGAGAGAACATACATAACAGCCTGGTAGACGGAAGGTGCTCCATAAATGTGAATGTCCTCCCTTTCCCAGTAACCCCCTTCCCTCCCTTTGCTATGAAAAACCAACATCTGAGTCCCAGCACTAGGGAGGCAGAGGCAGGGGATCTCTGGGAGTTTGAGGACAGCTTGGTCTACAGAGTGAGTTCCAGGACAGCCAGGGCTACACCAAGAAACCCTGTCTCAAAAAGCAAAGAGAGACAGACAGACAGACAGACAGACAGAGAGGAACCTACACCTATATCTGAGGGCCTTTGGCCTTCTATAGCCAAGGGAAGTGGAACACACCCGTGGCTTTAGGCACTGGAACAAAAGCAGTTGGCTTGTTTCGAATCCACTCACATTGTGGGTTAGTAAAAGCGCAGAGTGCCCCCCTTCCTTTTGAGTGCTTAGCCTAACGCCATTAAATGGCAGTCCCTGAAGCATAGGGTTCATTTAAGACTGTCTAGGGAGGCGTGACTACCTAAGCCCACAGGTTTTTGTCCTTTTAAGAATCTGAGACTGACTTTTGTACTGCTGTGACCAGGGATATAATCTCGGATGTAATCTAAACTCCATTATATTTAAGGGAAGTCCAGGCTTCCCCTCTAAAGAGTCCCTTGGGTCTACACTCAGGAACTCAATGTAGGAGGGCTCCCTTTCCGTCCAGCAGTGCAGCTCTGAGGCCGGACTGGGAGGGAAGAGAGTGTTGTATCTGCTCAGCCAGTTGGTTCTGCTCATCCCTCCAAGGCTATCTTGATGGAGTGTGTTCAGGAAATGTGATGATAAGCCAGGAGTGCTAGTATCATGTGTGGCCTCTGGGTGACAAGTGCTAGTGTATAGCTTCAAAATAAGATTTTCCTTATATCACCTAGCCAGGTTCCTCAGGCTAGACCAAGGGGTTTTCATTTGGTAATTAGGATCAATGGCCTCTACCTTCAGTCCTGGTAGGGACTTGCAGATGTTCTGGAGTGCATGTCCTCAGGTACCAGGTAAAGGCAGGACTAGCTTGATGTTATCTGATGAGACCGGCCCAACACGTCCCTTCTCTGCTTTGAACAAAGTCCCCTGAGCAGTGATGAGAAGAGACAAGCGGCCCTGCCTGAGTTTTCTGCCCCAAGTTGTGTTTAAGAGACTTTTGCAGGCCTCCCATACAAGCGTGGCCTCCTCACTCAGCATCGGCCTCCATCTGGACCTAAGTAAAGATGGCCGTCAGGGTGGTGGGAACAGAGAGGGGAACGGGATGAATGCAGAAGGAGACTATTCGGGGAGGGGAAGAGAACCAGCCTGGAGAGGGGTAACAGGAAATGGCGGTGAAGGAGACAAAGAGCAAAAAAGTGTGTGTGTGTGTGTGTGTGTGTGTGTGTGTGTGCGCGCGCGCGCGCACGTGTGCAAAAATGTAACAGTGAAACCTTTCACTTTTTATGCGAACTAAAATGGCAGTGGTTTTTCCAGCTCTGCGCAGTGATCAGTGCTGGTTGCTTCCAAATGGCCAGTTTAAATGGCAGTGGCTGTGGGGGAACGGGGGAGGGAAGCCAGAGCTCCAGACTTCATCCCGAGGACTGGCCCTTGTTGGTGTGTCTCTGGCTCACACCCGCCCCTCCTGTGCTCTCTCTCAGCAATGGGTGACAAGCCGGCAGATGCGATTTGAAGGAGGATTTCAGGGCCGCTGCAACAAGCTGGTGGATGGCTGCTACTCCTTCTGGCAGGCAGGGCTCCTGCCCCTGCTGCATCGAGCACTGCATGCTCAAGGTGAGCCCACGCCGCCGCTATGGGAGCCAGAAGATGATCTCCCTGGTCAGTTCCTAACCAAGGGCTGCTCAGAGGAAGGCGATTCTGTCTGGCTGGGATTTTGAGACCTGGTGTGGAGCCTCCTGTCCTAGGGGCTGTGTATGCAGAATAGGGTTCAGTTGGCATGGTTTCAGATCACTTGCTGCTGTGGCAGGATGGACTTCCCCTGTGCCACTCCCCACTATCTGAAGGGAGCATCCCCACCCCGTCTCAGGCCCCACAAGGACTGGGGCTGCCATCTCTGCTCGGCATGAAGCCATAGCTGCCATTGCAGAGCTGTGCTCGGTCATGTCGCGATGAAAACCCTCTGTGCACACAGTCAAAGTGGCGACACGAGAGGCAGTAATAAAAGGGCAGAGAACCAGAACCGAGGAGAGAGGACTCACCACATCTGGCTGAGTCCATGTCACCATTAGCAATGTTTTCTTTTGAGCAGGGAGACAGCCTGGTGGGTACAGGCCCCTGCTGGCAAGTCCAATGACCTGAGTTCAGTCCCTGGGACCCACGTGGTGGAAATAGAGAACTGACTCCCTGCAAGTTGTCTGACCGCCACATGTGATCCCCTCCCCCACAAAATAAATAAATAGAATGCTGTTTGTTTGGAAAAAAAAAAGTTTTATGAATGCCACTGCTTTGTTTGGCAGAACTGATGATTGAAATGAGGGACCTCGTGCGTGCGAGACAAGTGCCCTGCCAGAGAGCTGCAGCCCAGCCCTAGTACTGTTTGATCTTAAAGTCAGTGAGCTGACCTGGATGAGTGTGCTTCCCTGAGCAGCCAGGCTAGAGAAATCCACATTCCTTCCTAAGGAGTTGCCACAGGGCAGGCAAGACCAGCAGGCCAAGGCTCCGACAGCCCCTCTCCCTCAATGCCTTCTGATTCCATGCCCATTCTTGCCTGTGATCCTGGGCACACAGGGGGCGGGGGGGGGGGGGGAGTCAATGGCCACCCTGCCGGCTGCCAATCTGTTCCTGCCAGGAGGTCCCTTGGCCCAGAGGGAGACTTTCCTGTGGACTCAGCTGGGTGACTAGTTACTGCTGCCTCCCACACCTAAGCTTCTTTCTGACTCTCTGAGCCCCACGCTTTAATTCCTTAATCTCACTGGAGTTGTTGAGTTGTAGATGCTTTTGATATTGATTAAAAGTCCACAGAGCCGCTGTCCTCCCTTCCCAGCCTGGGGCCATCGGGTTTAGGCCTCAGAATACTGAGGCACAGTAATGCCAGCACTCTGGAACTGCATAGGCTCTGGCTTGATCACTGGTAGGACTGTCAGGAATGCCCGAGAGTACTAGGTCTCAACCCCCTTTGGGGTCAAATGGCCCTTTCACAGGGGTCGCATACCAGGTATCCTACACACCAGATACTTACATTATGATTCATAACAGTAGCACAAGTACAGTTATGAAGTAGCAATGAAAATAATTTTATGGTTGGGGGTCACCACACTATGAGGACCTGTATTTAAGGGTCTCAGTGGTAGGAAGGTTGAGAGCCACTGCTCTAGAGGCTAACTTTTCTCAAAGAAATACCCTGACGTTTTGGTGATCTCTTTCTTTGGAGCTGGCTTACAGAAGGCCACAGATGTTGCTACTTTTTCCATGAGGGTGGCTCTGTTGGTGGCAGCAGAGATTTCCCAAGCCGTCACTGTGCCAGGGTACTTCACTTACATGTTCTCATTTGCTCCCCCAAACAGCCCTATCACACCGAGGCTTTTGATGGTCTCATTTCGCCGATGATGAAGCCAAGTACACGTGGTTAAGGCTTGCCTTATAAACTGCCTGCAACCTGTAGTGGTTGGTAGGTGACCTCAGCCCGGCTGGCATCACTGCAGAGGAATACCAACCTCCTCCCCCCGGCCCCCTTCAAAAAAGTTATCCAGCTTGTTTGTAGCCAAAGACATGCAGGTAGGGGCCAGAAGAGATGGCTCACTGGTTAAGAGCATGTGCTGGTCTAACGGAAGACGTGAGCTCAGTTCCCAGCACCCACAGTGGGTGGCTTAAACTACCTATAACTCCAACTCCAGGGGATCCAACTCCTCCTGGTCTTCAGGCAGGCTGATCTCTTGAGTTGGGGGTAGCCTGGTCTACATAGCAAGTTCCAGACCATCAAGAGCTACATAGTGAGACTCTGTTTCAAAAAAAATCTAAAAAGTAAAAGAAAATATTCACTTATTGTGACAACTATTATTTGGGGTTATACTATCTATTAACAGTATATGTATGTTTGGTGTACACACACATTTGTACATGTGAATGTGCATGTGTGTGGCAGGTTGTGCATGCACATTCCTGGGTGAGCATGCATGTGCGTGCAGGCTTATGTGGAGGCCTGAAGTTGACGTTAGGCCTCTTCTTTGATGGATCTCTACTTTATTTATTGAGGTAGTTTCTGGTTGAACCTGGAGTTCACCAATTCTGGCTAGTCTGGCTAGGAAGCTTGCCCAGGGCATCTCTGGTTTCTGCCACCCAAGTGCTGGGATTCCAGGCAGCTGCCATGACTGCCCAGAGTTTACATGGTGCTGAGGATCTGCAGTCTGGTCCTCAGGCTTGCACAGCAAGTGCTCTATCTACTGCCATCTGCCTGGCGGCTCTATCTACTGCCATCTGCCTGGCGGCTCTATCTACTGCCATCTGCCAGGCTCTATCTACTGCCATCTGCCTGGCAGCTCTATCTACTGCCATCTGCCTGGCGGCTCTATCTACTGCCATCTGCCTGGCGGCTCTATCTACTGCCATCTGTCAGGCTCTATCTACTGCCATCTGCCCGGCTCTATCTACTGCCATCTGCCTGGCCCATGCATAATCTATGGATCAGTCAGATGGGGCTGTTTCTAGGAACTGACCCTCCACAGTAAGTGATAGTGTGTCCAAGGAGCACACTAAGAATGTTTGCTACCTTCCTGTTTTTAAGAGCAGAATGTCAGACCAACTTAGAAGTTCAAATGTGAGGGAGGAGGGGCTGTGATATAAATGATGGTACATCTTACAACAAACTATTATCCAGTCATTTACATAGTGCTACAGAGTTATGAAAATGTTTCCCTCATTACATGAAATGCTAGAAAATAACAATGTACTATATGATTGAATTTCCAGAACTCTGGAAGAATATACATTCAAAAAACAAAAAGCATTAGTCTGAGGCTGGGCGTGGTTGTGCATGCTGTCAGTCCCAGCGCTTGGAAGACAGAGGGAACAGACATTTTTATCCTGTTAGCGGACTGCAAATAGGCATTTGGTTTTGTAGGGTAGTGTGCAGGTGTCTGCTTAACTTACACACACACTTAACATTTCAACCTGACTAGTGCACTGTCCTGAGCTCACCCACAGAGATATTAGTAGAGGGTGTGCATTGAAGTAGAATTTGAGTAGCAAATGGAAAAGTCCATTGAAAAGTGAAGAGTTGCCCGGCCTGGCCACCGCACACCTTTAATCCCAGCCCTCAAGAGTCAGATCTTTCTACATTCAAGGGGAGCTTGACCTACACAGCAAGTTCCAGGTCAATCAGGGCTACATGAAACCACTTTCTCAACAAACATGAGTGGGTAAATAAATGATGCTCTCTCTAAACGGTAGTTGGATACAGTGGCTCTGTGCAGAAAGCTCCCCAGGATGCAACATACAGTATAAAAGGCCAGGCCCAGGGCTGGCACACCAGCTGGTGCCCACTGGCTTTTCCTAGCATCATGTCCAAACACTTAACAATGCGTGATATTGAGAGAAGCGTAGGAGGGAGTCAGAGGTTACCTTGTAAATTATATATCCTCTATTATGCTGTTTTCTTTTCTTCTTCCAAAAACGTGAGATGTATTATTACTTACGTTTTAATTTTTAAAAACTCTGTGTGTGTGTGTGTGTGTGTGTGTGTGTGTGTGTGTGTGTGTGTGTGTGTGTGTGATGTGCGTGTGTGGTCTGTGTACATGAGGGTGTCTGAGGGTGTCAGATTCCCTGGAGCTAGAGTTACAGGAAGTTGCCAGTCACCTGACAGTGGGTGCCGGGAACCACATCCTTTGCAAGAGCAGAACTTGCTTTAACCACTGAGCCACCTCTTCTGCTCTGTGTTTCTTGTATTTTTTAGTAAGCAAATGCATCATTTTTTTTTCATGTTTGTTACTAGGTATTGAGCCCAGATCCCCTACAATGCTAAGCATCTTCACCACTGCTGAGTTATATCCATAGCCATAAACTTAAAACAAGTTTATATATTATTAATTTAGTTGTAGTACTGGGGGGTTGAACCCAGGGCAAATAGGCAAAATGGAGACAGGAAGTAGGTACGGCTGTGCTATAGAAAAATGGTAAATGTAGTGGAAGATGAGAGTCATAACATTATCGGACTTTAGAAAACAAAGGATAGACTAGTAAATCAGTTAGGAATGCAGGGTGTGCAGAATAAATAAGCAGATACTGTTGCTTGTTGTTTTGAGACAAGGTAGCCCAGGCTGGCCTAGAACTCATGTCAAGCCTCCTGTATCAACCTCCCAACTGCTGGGATTACAGGCATCTGCCACATACCTGGCTTTTTTCTTTACCTTTAAAAAATTATGTATTTATGTATTTATGCTAGGGATCAAACCAGGACCTCACACAAGGTTGTTTAGAGATAATGAAGCTTGGTTCTTTTTAAAAATTTTTTTTATTCTCCTGTTGCTTATGGTATTGGTATCATGTGAGAATCCATTGCTAACTTCATCATCATGGGAATATATGTTTTCTTCCTAGAGTTTTGATTTTTAGCTCTCATAGGTTCTTGATCTGTTTTTTGTTTTTTTTTTTTAAGATTTATTTATTATGTATACAGCGTTCTGTGTGCATATATGCCTGAATACCAGAAGAGGGCACCAGATCTCATTACAGATGGTTGTGAGCCACCATGTGGGTGCTGGGAATCGAACTCAAGACCTCTGGAAGAACATCCAATGCTCTTAACCTCTGAGCCATCTCTTCAGCCCTATTGATCTGTTTTTAAGGGTTGTTTTTTGTTTTTTGTTTTTTTTTTTGACAAGTTCTTTCTATGTGGCATTGTCATCAGCCTCCCAAGTGCAGGGATTATGGGCATGCACCATCACACCCCAGTAAAGATTTTCTTTTGTTTGATTTCTGGTGCTGGGGTTGAAGGAGACTCTCGTGTGTAGCTTATACAGTGGATACATTCTCCCTCCAAGCTTCATCATTGGATGTAGAAGTCCAGTTGTCCCAGGATCGACTGAGCCTTCCTTCACTGAATGGATGCAGCATCTGTTGATAACCAGTTGGCTGTGGGTATGGGGCTTAGCTCCTGATTCTCATTTCTACTGCATTGTGCTATGTACCTATCCTTAGGCACCATGGTTATGATAGCTCTGCTGTAGGTTTTGAAATAAGGAAATATAGGTCTCCTGGCTTTCTTCTTTTTCCTGGTAACCTTGGCTGTTTTGGGTCTTCTGCAATTCAGTATGAATTCTGTTAATTTAAGGACTGCAGAGAATATGTAGATTTTTTTTCTTTAAAGATAGTCTCATGTATCTCAAACTATATAGTTCAGTCTGGCCTTGAACTGCTGGTCTTCCTACCTGCCTTCTGAGCACTGAAATTACAGGTCTGTGCCACCATACCCAGCAAGCATTGACATCTTAACAATCCCTATTTACTTGTTTTTGTTTATGTGTGTGTGTACCTGTGTGCACTTGTGTGTCCTAGATACATGCACATATGTGGAGGCTGACAACCAAGTGTCTTCCTCAGTCACTGACGCCCATTTGGCTAGACTGGCTGGCTGACCAGCGCCGGGATCCTCCTGCCTCCACCCCTCAGCTCTGGTATTACAAGTGTGTACTGCCATGCCCAGATTTTTTATCTGGGTGCTGAAGATGGAACTCAGGTCCCCAAGCTTGTGCAGCAAGCACTTTATTGGCTGATCTGTCTTGCTAGTTCCTTGTAATTAAAGCAATTATTACATTTATTTAGTCGTGTTTGTATTCATCAGTTTGGGGTGGGGTGGGGCACAAGATGTGTGCCAGGGCAAACGTGTGGCGGTCAGACCTGGTTCTTTCCATCAGACTGAGTAGTAAGAGCCCTTACCTGCTGAGCCATTTTACTGACTCTGTTATTATTTTTAAACTCTTTATGTAGCCGAGGATGACCTTGAACCTCTGATCTTTCTAAGTGCTGGGATTATATGTGTGTTACCATATCTGGTTTATGAAGTGCCTGGCCTGATTATTTTCTTAATGTTGAACTACTCTGCATCCCTGGGATAAGTTTCACCTCCCCTTTAATACATAGTTTACATCAGATTATTAGTATTTTGTGGGGTTTTTTTTTGCACCTTTACTTCTAAGTATCTAGTTTGATCTTGGTAATAACTCAGAGAAATTTTTAAAAATAGCGTATAGGGGCCGGGCAGTGGTGGCGCACTCCTTTAATCCCAGCACTCGGGAGGCAGAGGCAGGTGGATCTCTGTGAGTTCGATGCCAGCCTGGTCTACAAATAGAGTTCCAGGAAAGGCACAAAGCTGCACAGAGAAACCCTGTCTCGAAAAACCAAAACCAAAAAAAAAAAAAAAAAAAAACCAAACAAACAAAAATAGTGTATAGGGCCTGCAATAGCTCAGTGGATAAAGGTGCCCATCCCCAAACCTGCTGACCTGACCAGTGGTAGTCCACTTGCCTAGCATTTCCAAGGCTCTGGGTTTAACTGGTAACACACACACACACACACACACACACACACACACACACACACACACACACACACGCATAGACAGTGTGATCAGATACACAATGTTCGGATTCTCTGACTCATTTGAGATTCTTTCCTTTGTCCCTGTACTTCTGTCAGTGGATGTAAGTCTGATGTAGAGCTGTAGATAACCAGCATGAGTGCGGTCTTGAATTTGACCCCTAGCAAGGGCTGGAGACTGGGATGTCCAAGGTTGGGGTGCCAGCAGACTCTGGTACCTGGAGGGGTTGCTCTCTGCTTTTAGGGAGGCCCTGTCACTGAGTCCTCTAGAGGGGAGGAAAGCTATGTCCTCAACTGGTGAAAGGTACAAATGCTTTTTACCATTTTGGTTACCAGGAACATCTTTTTTAAACTTTCTTTTCATTTATTCTTTGTGTCTTTCACATCATACATCTCCATCCCATTCATTTCCGTCTCTTCGTATCTGCCCTCTGCCCTTGCAACCTACCCCCCCCCCCCCAATAAAATAACATAAAACTCAAGAGGAAAAAAAAAAAGGAAAAATCGATCTCGTCATGGAAGCTGTAGTGTGACCCAGTGAGTCACGCAGTAAACCCTTTTGTCCATACATCTTTACTGCAAGCGTTCACTGCAGAGTCACTGGTCTGGTTCGAGGCCTCTGGTTTCTGCTACAGTATCGATGCTGGACCCTCACTGGGACTCCTCTTGGTTATCCTGCTGTTGCCTGTGTTGTGGAGATCCTGCAGCTTTGGGTCTGCAGCTCTGGCCCCTTCACGTGCTCCAGCAGACCACAGATGGGGTGGATGTTGGGGTGGGCCAACTCATAGCCTGGTTCTGGGCATAAATAGTTGCAGGGTTGGTCAGCCCACCAGCTCTCCTGTCCTCACCACCAGGGTGGGCTCTCCTGCATTGCCCCTGGCTAGTTCAGCCCAGGCCGAGATGAGCAAGGGGCGGGGCCGGTTCTCCTGTTTTCATGTCCTAGGGTCTCCCACCTACACCTTCAGGGCCAGCTCTACTGTGCTGCCTGGGCATGGTGTGGGTGCCACTCTCCCAAGCTGATGAAGAGCAGGGCCAGCTCTACTGTGCTGCCTGGGCATGGTGTGGGTGCCACTCTCCCAAGCTGATGAAGAGCAGGGCCAGCTCTCCCGCTCTTTTGACCTCAGGGCTAGCTCTCTCATCTTGGGGGAGAGGGATCTCCCCCCCCCCCCCATACCACCACATGACAGCCGAGTAATAGGACCACCTCTCTCATGCTCACAACATTGGGGCTGACTCATTCACACCCCCGCCAATGGGGTTGGCTGTATTCTTCTGCCCAGGCGAGGTGCAGGGTTCTAGGAACATCTTAAAAATTGCATTTATTTATTGTGTCTCCCTCCCTCCCTCCCTTCCTTCTTCCCTCCCTCCCTTCCTTCCATCTTTTTCTCCTTCTTCTCTTTCCCCCACCTGTCTCTCCCTCTCTAGCTCAAGTGATCCTCTTGACTCAGCCTCCTAAGTAACTGAGACCACAAGTATGTGTCTCTTTTCAAGGAAAATAATTGGGTGCTGGGGAGGTGGCTCAGTGGTTACGAACACTGGCTGCTCTTCCAGACGACTCAGGTTTGTTTCTCAGCACCCACATGGTGCCTCACAGCTGTCTGTACCCCAGTTCCAAATCCAGTGCCGTTTCTGGCCTCTGTGGATACCAGGCACACATGTGGTGAACAGACATGCATGCAAACAAGTCACCCACATACATTAAAGTAAAACAAACCAATACAAAACCAAGTTATTGCCAGATATGTGAGGCACACCTGTAATTCCAGGAGATGGAGGCTTAGGGTCATCATTAGCTACATAGTAAGTTCAAAGCCAGTCTGGGCTACATGAGATCATGTCTCAAAATAGAAAAGAAAATATTTTCTGTCTGAATATTTTATAATTAAATGTGGGATTTTTTTTTTTTTGGCCATGTGTAGTGTATGTGTATGTGTGTGTTTGTGTGCACATGTACATGTGGTATGGATGGAGGCCAGAGGTTGACATCTGGTTGTTCTTCTGAGTCACTTTTCACTGTATTTTTAAAGAAAGGGTCTCTCACTGAATCTGGCTATTACCCCCTGGTAAGAGTTCCTTCCCTGCTCAGATTCCACTAACTAGTTGCACAGGACTAGAGGGGATGCCCTCGGGGGACACTAACCACTGCTGGAGATGTGGTTTAGGACATCCATGTTGACTGGCACACTTCAAGGCAAGAGAAACTGCCACTTAGAACTGCCCTTTGACGCACACCCGTGTGTCAGGAGAGGGATGCGTGACGAAGCTCGCAGGGGTACGGGGAACGAGTGGACTGAGACTAACCGCTGCCCTGCCTCTCCTGTCCTGTCCTTCACCAGGCGACCCTGCCCTCAGCATGAGCCACTGGATGTTCCATCAGCAGGCCCTGCAGGAGTACATCCTGATGTGCTGCCAGTGCCCAGCGGGGGGGCTGCTGGACAAGCCCGGCAAGTGAGTGGGGGTGAGGGGAGAGGGAATGTGCCACCCTGGCCACTTAGAGCCAGGCCCGTCAACCTGGGGCGGCGGCCCTGCCCTCCAGCCGCTTAGCACTAGCGTTGTTCAGGGAAAGTGCTCCACTTTGGGCAACCCCTCCAGTAGCCCTGGGCCTTCACTTCTGGCTCCTCACCTTGTCCCCCAGCTCACATGCACCTTTCTCCTTCTCCAGAGAGGCCAATGGATTGCTAGCTTCCCTCCACTGTTACTGTTTTGTTTGGGGTTTCTCTGTGTAGCCCAGGCTGTACTGGAACTCATTCCATAGACCAGGCTGGCCTTGAACTCAAGAGATCCACCTGCCTCTGCCTCCCGAGTGCTGGGACGAAAGGGGAGCACCACCACCATGCCCAGCTTCCTTTACTGTACTGCTTGGTGTTTTTCTTGTTAAGCCCATTTAACGAGAATAGGCTATGGATGGAGGTATAGGTCAGTGGTGGAGCATTTGCCTAGCACGTATGTCGTTCTGGGGTCATCCCGAGCAATGCAAAACAGCAAAACAGGATAGGCTATCAAAGCAATGAGTGCTATAAACGGATTGTAGTCCAACAACCGTTCTGGAGTAGATGAAATGACTAAACACAAGTGTGGGGTATTGCGTATGGTAGAGTCTATGCAAAAGGGAACTAAACTACGAGAGGTCCCGTTACATTCCAGACACACACTCACAAACACTTCCACTGCTGCCACTGCTGCTCTGAGAAAGGCCTGGCCTAGCAGTGTATCAAGAGGAGTGTGCTCGATCCCTAGACATTTTGTGATCTTTCGAGAGAAATACTTAACTCATGTGGCAGTATTTGGAGAGGCTGGTAGGAAGGGGACAAGGCTTCTCAGAGCTGTCTGTCCTTGCAGGTCACGTGACTTCTACCACACCTGCTACTGCCTGAGTGGCTTATCCATCGCCCAGCATTTCGGAAGTGGAGCCATGCTGCATGATGTGGTCATGGGTGTGCCTGAAAATGCTCTGGTAAGCAGGTAGGGGTCTGTTGGGGAGTCTGTGACCCCTGGGAGAAGACTGTGGACTCAATCCAATTCTGATGAAGGGATTTATTGATTAACTGCTAGCAGGACGAATCTCTGAGCCAAAATTGAGATTGTCATGAAGGAAGGGTATGGGGAAGGACTCTCTGTATCTGTGCAAGCAAGTAAAACCTGTTCTGTCTAGTCTGCCAAGTTAGGTGGGTAAGGCAACTCAAAGCAGTCTTGGGTATCTGCATAAGCAAGTTACAGAAGTAAAAAAAGCAGGTAGTTATATCATAACAGATAGTCACGGCTGTATACTTTCAGGTGGGGGTCACTGAGTCAGGGTTATTGAGAACTTACCTTCCAGGGACTGGAGTCAGAGACAGATGGCAGATGTTACCAAGATGGATGCTTAGCATAAAACAGAACTTTTTTAGCCATAACAGTTCAATACCCCTTTTCTGCAAGGTCTTCCAGGTCAGGGGACCTCACTTCAGTGTGGCCACTTGTGTCCTGCAGAGCCGGCTGCTTCCTGTGTGGGCAAGTTGGGAAACTCACTGGCCCCACCCCCGGCACTTTTCAGCCTGTGAGTGAAGGTGTGGGTAGGGGAAATACAGGGCCAGGCAGGGGCAGGATTTCAGTGTTCTGAACTGGGGCAGAGACAGTTATTCTTCTCATCAGCTGACTTGGGTCCAGTCCACTGCTGACCACAGTTTCCCTCTCGAAGGCCAACACAGTCGTTACTCAGATCCCGGGGACCTCTAGCAGGGGCAGGGTACTGCACTCACTATCGCAGGCTTCATGTCTCAGCTCACATGCCTTCTCTTCGGAGGACGGACTGCCCACATTGCCATGCTGTGATACCACATGACGGTTTGCCACGTGTGTCTTTCACCGTGTGGATGCTTCCCCCAGAAGAGGCAGGCCTAGCTAGGGATGTAGCTCGGGGTAGGGTCCTTGCTGAGATGAGTCTGTAGAGCCTTGAGTTCAGTGCCAGCACCACTAGACAAGAGGGGGGTGGTGCCTTCCCTGGCCTGTGCTATGGCAGCCTGGCAGAAGCCGACACTCTGTGCCTAGACATGAGCCCAAGAAACAAACACGGCTGAGACTGTCCACATGGCCAAGTAACAGAGCCACTTGTCCTGGCCACCCATATTAGGCAGTTCTACCTCCAGCAGATAGAAATGTTGAGCCTCATCTTTTACCTGGCTTGTACATCTTTCCTCTGTCTGCACTGGGAAATGTTTCAAGCAGAAGTGCAAACAGATGGCAGACAGATGAAAAGCCATTCTTTGTTGGGTCCCACTGTGTGACTCTGTAGCTCTGGCCGGCCTGAAATCCATATTGTAGACCAGGCTGGCCTGGGACTTGTGTGAGTTTTCTTGCCTCTGCCTCCTGGGTGATTGGGATTATAGGCTGCATCCACTCGATCTGGTTCAACCTTTTATGGGGCGGGGGCACGTGTGTGGGGGGCACGTGGAGACCAGAGGGCAAACTCAGGTGTTTTTGCTCAGGAGCTGTACACCTTGTTTTTTGACCTGAGCATCTCAGTGGGACCGGGGTCTTGCCTATTGGGCTGGCTGGCTAGCCAGTAAGCCCCGGGGGTCTTCCCGCGTCTGCCTCCCTGGTGCTGAGACTCTGAGTGCACCAACCACACCGGCTTTTTACATGGGTCCCGGAGATCACACTCGGGCTCTTGTGTTTTTGAAGCAGGTATTTTACTAGCTGAGACATCTCCTCAGACCCCCAGGAAAGATCAGCTCCAAATCTTTCTTAGACACACACGAGGGCCAAGTGGGATGGCTCAGTGGGTTGCCACACAAGGCTGATATCCTGAGTTCAGTCCCCGGAACCCACACTGTGGAAAGGATCGACGCCTGCATGTCGTCCTCTGACCTCCACCTGAATGCTGTGGCATGTGTGTGCTCTGCACCACAGACACAGAATAGGTAAATAAATAGAAAAGCACTTTGAGGATTGATGACCTCCACCTGAATGCTGTGGCATGTGTGTGCTCTGCACCACAGACACAGAATAGGTAAATAAATAGAAAAGCACTTTTAGGATTGATATAATTTTTTTTTTATTATAATGTGTTTTTCAATTTGTGTTTTAAAATATACTGACCTCATGAAAATAGGTAGCTGCCTGCCCCTCCCCCATTTTAGACAGGGTCTCACCCCGCAGTGCTGGCTGGCCAAGAACTCTCGAACTCCCAGATCCACCTGCTTTATCTCCTGAGGGCTGGGGTTAAAGGTGTTCACTGCCATGTGCAGTTTTCTCTCGTTGTCTCGCAGGCGGAGGGCTAGGGCTGTAGCTCAGCTGGTCCAGTGCACGCTTAGCACGCACAGAGCCCTGGGTCAGCCCTCAGTACTGTAGAAACCCAGCATGATGGCGCAGGCCTGTAATCCCGGCACTCGGGAGGTAGAGGCGGGAGGTGAGAAAGTCTGTCATTCTTGGCTGTACCCCTCTTAGACGGAGGCCAGCCTAGGCTACATGAGACCTTGTCTAAATAAATAAAGGAGGGGCTGGCAAGATGGTTCAGTAGGTAAGGGTGCTTGCTGCCAAGCTCAGAACCTGAGATCACTCTGGAACCTCTACAGCAGGAGGAAACCAACTCCTCTGACTACATGTTGTCTTCAGACCCTCCTCATCACAAGATGGGGGTGTGTGTAAAGAAACTGAAAATGTTCTGCAGCTATATCCTCCTCCTCTTCACTCTCCCAGAGAGGGCCCCGAATACCGCTCTAAAATTCTGTCCTGCCTCCGACTTTACATTTCTTTTGGATTTCTGTGATGTAGGGAAATGATGTAAAGGGATGGAAACATGACACTCACCCTCAAGAGAGCTGTGGTCCTTCTTAGTTATGAACACAGATGCATGTTCACCGTTTTAATCATTGAAACCCATGTACAAGTATAAAAAGTGGAGGCTGGCCCCATGGCTGTGGCTGTCTGGTGGATGCCCAGTGCCGCCACCCCTGCCCTCTCCACCACAGCTGTGAGCACGCTTTGAAAGGAGCTTTGAGATGCTCCTGTGCACGGGGCTTTACTCACATGTCACAGGCTAAGCATCCCACACGTGAACATTTTAAATCCAAAATGCTTTAAAAGCTACAACTTTTCAAGTGTTAGGGTAGCTCTCAAAAAGTTCAGAGCCAGGAGTGGTTGTGTACACCTGTAATTGGAGCACTACATCCCGTCAAAGAGATGGACCCTTTTCATTCCATAAGGAGTGAAGTTACGCCATTTGAAAGATGATGCTTGCAGCTGGAACCATTGTAGTAAGTGAATGGAGCAGTCTCAGGAAGACATGTTTTCTCTCAATCGTGGGTCCTAGGTTGTATATAGACACATAAAACATGTATGTATCTATGACATGAAACTAGAAATCAAGCTGTCTATGGGGACAAAGGGAATTAGTGTGGAGGGGGAGGGGTGCTCCGAGGGAGGAAGGGTAGGAATATTGGGGGGAATGTGCTCAACATACCGTGCATTCATGTAGCAACTTGAATTTTGCAAAGGTTACAGTGTTTCTCTTCTCTTCCTCTCCTTTTCTCCTTTACTTTGGATCTGCACTCCACATGGGAGAGAAGTGTAACCTTCTGTGTTAGAGGTAGTAAGGGAAGGGAACAGAGGACAGTGTGCTGTATGTACATGGAAGCCAAAGGGGTCACTATTTGGGGGACTGGAGACCAGCAGAAGCGGGGACTGAGGTGCAGATAAGAACAAGGCATAATGACAGTAGACACGCAAATGTCACAATGGAAGTCAGACACAGTAGTGCACACCTGGAACCCCAGCCATGTGGGAGGCGGCAGCAGGAAGACAGGAGTTCAAGCCCAGCTTACATGGTAAATCTGAGGCCAGCCTGGGCTAGCCAGCCTATGAGAGACAGACTGAAACAAAGACACTGCTGTAACAAACTCAGTACTTTGTCTGCTGATTACAAACACATTTAGGATAAAAGTTATAGTACGTAAGAACAGGTTTTGGAGCAGGGGATGTAGCTTAGAGGTGGACACATATGTTAACGTGTGAGGTGCTGGGTTTGCCGCACACAATCGTGGACTTCAGAGTTTTACATAAAGACACATAACAGGTTAAGTCTATGTGAATATTCCAAATTCCACCAAGTCCACAATGTATTTCAGATAAACATAAGCATGTCCTGTGTCGTGAAAATACCCGAAAGCGCACATTTAAGTGGCTGAATACTGTGGTTGTGCACTGTGAAATGTTTTCAGCAGATACCGTGGTTTGCACATGTGGGCCTGGAGTAAACCTGTGTGTGTGTATGTGTGTGTGTGTGTGTATGTGTGTGTGTGTGTGTGTGTGTGTGTGTGTGTGTGTGAGAGAGAGAGAGAGAGAGAGAGAGAGAGAGAGAGAGAGAGAGACTCATGCTCCTTAATCTAAGTTCTGCCAGGTGAATTTCAGCCACCAAGAGCCACTGGTGATGGACTGGCGTCTGTTCTCTTTACAGCAGCCCACTCACCCTGTCTACAACATTGGACCCGACAAGGTGATCCAGGCCACCACATACTTTCTGCAGAAGCCAGTCCCAGGCTTTGAGGAATGTGAAGATGAGGTGACCTCAGATCCTGCCACCGACTAGAGGACCCTGTGGCTCCCCCAGCTCCCCCGTCAGACAAGGTTTCTCCATTTGGGTACAGAGCACACTCTGTGCTTCTGTGAGCCTTGGCCGCTGTGGAGTTGTGGTTTCTTTGTCCTTTCCTGTCAAACAAAACAAAGCCATCAGCTCTGGGTTCAGAATACACAGTGGTGTGATTTTTTAAAATTATTTTCATACCTGTCAAATCAAAACTCTGTGAGCCTGTGCAGTGGGGTTGGAGGAGAGCAATGCATGCTGGGAAGCAGCAGCCTCTCCTGGCAGCCAGCAGCCTGGCCCACCATGCTGAAATGGAGGCTATCTCCGCACCCCAGCCCCTGTGGTGACTCCCACCTGCACACCACCATTCAGTCACCTCTCGGGTAGAAACGTCAGCTCCGTGCTGGCCAGGGTGGGGCTCTGGGTCCTGCCTACGTGAGCTCCCTGGAAAAGATCACTGGGCTGGAGCAGCGCCTGCTTCTGCTTGTGTCCTTCACCCAGTCACCTGCAAAGGACAGCGGCTGGGAATGGAGGAGAGCCTTAGGTTGAGTCCCTCCCCTCAACCTGGGAGAACTGAGCCACACATCTCTCCAAGGCCATGTTTGGTGTAAGCAAGACTTGTTTTGTCCTAGATATGACTAGACCCAGGTAACCAATTATGATTGGAAAATCAACCTCTAGGTCAACTCTGTGCCAGAGGAAGCAGCTTCCCCCAGAGCCCAGGCCCTGCCTCTCCCCATCATGTACCAGGAGAGGTCCTCCTCCAGGCAGTACTGCAGCCCAGGCTCCTTCCGTTTCCACCCCCTACCCCCAAGACAGTGTTGTCTTTGCTCATCCAGAGTATTAACACTACTAAGGCTTCACCTTAACTGAAGACTCAGGATTTATTCCTGCCCTGCACACTGCAGGCTCACTGAAACAGAATCAAGCGCTAGGTACGCTGTGGGGACAGTGGCCTTGGGCGGTAGGGCAGGCACTGCCAGTGTGCCAGGGTGCCAGTGTGCCGACTCCGGGAGCTGCCTCTGCACTGGCCCTTTTGGTCGGCAGGGTGCTGAGTTTGGTCATCTGTCACGGCTTCAGTCACAGTGAGCTCATGTGACTGTCCAGCCATCGTGTGGACAGGCGGACAGGAGCCTGAGACGCAGCATGAGGCTCTTCCCCAGATCTCTGGCCATGTGCTGCCTCTAATTCCCTATTGCTTTGGTGTCCTGGGCTATGTATTACCTCCTGGAAATAATAAAAGAGTAACATTTTCTATGTTTTTTTTCCTTAAGAAATTGTTTTTGTCTCTGTATGTGTGAATCGATTTGTGTGTAAATGTGTCTATGGAGACCAGAGGAAAGTGTCAAATCCCCTGGATCTGGAGTTAGAGGTGGTTTTTAGTGGGTTCAGTGTGGGTGCTGAGAACCAAATCAGATCCTCCAGAAGAACAGCAAGTCCTCTAGCCCTTTGTAGTAGCTCTTCTATCTGTCCCAGGAAAACTCCTTCAGATGCCCATTTGCTCTGGGGATTTCCTGTCTCTTGCATGAGAGGGAAGCAGAGCTTCATCCCCCCTTGCACACCTTCTCCACACACTGATGTCTGTCTCCAACCTGACCATGGAAGAGAGTGCACTCTGGCATTGCATAGGGCTGGTGGGTGGACATCCCGGCCATAGTTGGGGCTGGCATTGATAGCGTTGAAATCCTGTGGTTACTAGAAGGGACTCTCACAAGGAAGGCCAAGAAGGAAACATTCTGTGGCTTGCCCCTTGGGGAAGGAGGAGACCTCAGAGGAAACTCCATCCATGCAAATAGCCCAGAGTCACGTTCTGAATGCAGACACCCCCTGGCAAAGTTTATTCTGCTAATGAAGGTTTGGATTGCAGTCCAGCATGTCCAAGTGTGTCTGTTCACCTCTGGCAGCAGGAAAGGCTCACACCAGCAGCCTATATTGAAGACAACTGCAGTCATAATTGGAATCGAGAAAGCACTTGGGACTGAGATGTCTTCATACCCAGGAGCAGGGCCCAGAAGCGGGGTGGAGTTGGGCGAGGCAGAGAGGAAAGGCTGCATCCTGATGCTGCTGTCTCCAGGTTTATACTAACAACTCTGATTCCTCTTCTGGAGTGCTTCCCAGTTCAGCCTTTGGGTGGGTCTGGAGAGAAGGCTCAGCTTTTATTTGATCCACATTTTATCCTGTGGAGCCTGAGTAGAAGACACTACCTATATAGCATTCGACCCCAGGAAATATGTCCCTATCAACAGATACCAAACTACCACAGATAGGTGTCCACATGAGTCCCACCTGCCCACTTGGGGATCCTGCCAGCCCTTCCTGGCACCAGAAGGCAGGATTCCTAGATCAGCCAGAGTGAACACCCTGAGGTGGCAGTTCTGGTGAGTGCTTTCTGGAACTGCCTTCCCATTGGAGCCTTGTTTGTGAGTAACATCAGGTAAGAATCTAACCTGATAGCCAAGTTCAAGGTAAGAGAGGAACTGCCAGCCTTTACCACTGGTGAGACTCCTCACCTGATGGACCTTCATCCAGTCTCAGGCTTGTGCTGGGGCCTCCCCATCTCCATATCGTCTCCTCTACTGTAAGATCAATGTTTAACCCATGATTGATCTTGTTCATCCCAGATTCCCAAGAAGACAGTTTGGGCCCAGCTACTGTAGTCTCCAGTTGGGACTGAGCTTCCTCCTCTTTGCGTAGCCCAGGAGCTGCAGAGTCACCCCCAGCTCCCACAGCTGCCGTTGGGAAGGAGTGCAGATGTCCAGAGCCGGAGAACTAGCCTACGCCATGGGACCTTCAAAGGTCTTCCCTTTAGATCTTGCCTTTGGTCCTAGCTGTCCTTGGCTCCTAGCTGCATGTGTCTCCTGGGTCTGAATGCAGACCCCCAGAACCTACTGTGCATTCCTTTAAAGCACAAAACAGCAGTCTATCTTCCTGCGCAGTGTACCAACAGCATGAAGTCTGCCCAGCCCACCATGCCATGGGGCTGTTCTGACTGAACACCTGGAAAAGAGCCCCCCAGGCCAGGACTCTGGAGGAGGAAGAGGATAGGATGGCTCTCAGAACTGAGTTAACTACAGCTTCCTGGGGAAGAAAAAAGGAGAGAAAAGAAAAGGCTGGAGCGGGTTACTGTAGAGTTCTAGTGGGTGACGGCAACATGCCAGTTGCTGAGAGTCTCTCCTGGTGACAATTTCCAGAACAGATTTGTCATGTAGGCCTTAGGGACACTAAGGACCAGAACACCCTCCTCGCCTTGTCAGGAAGACCATAAAGATACCCAAATACCAGTGCCAGGGAAGACCTGCCAAGGGCTAGACTCACTCAGATCTTGCTCGTTTGCTTCCTGGTGTTTTATCTCATGAGAGAGAAAATTTAAACAACATGGAGAGGGGGCTGCGTGACAGTTCGTGAGGTAAAGTATGCCACCAGGCCCAACTCCCTGAGTTCAATCCCTGGGATCAAACATGGCAAAAGGAGAGAAAGTGACTCCTACAATTTGTCCTTTGACCTCAACACACCTGCATGCATGCTTACACACACACACACGAATAATAATAATTTAAAAAAGAAAACTTTGGGGCTTAAGAAATGGCTCAGTGGTTAAGAGGGTTTGTTGCTCTACCAGAGGACCTGGGTTCAGTTCTCAGAGCCCATGTGGTGGCTCACAACTGCATGTTAACTCCAGTTCCAGGGATCCAACACTCTCTTCTGGTTTCTCTGCACACTAGGCATACGTGTGGCTTACACATACTGGAAAGAAAACATGTACAAAGAAAATCTTTCAAAAAGGAAACCTGGAGTGATGGTTGGCTGCATGCCCGTTACACTATTGCACTAATATTAACTGTATATACTGTACTTCTGGCAGGAGCTCAGTAGCCAGGGATTAGAGTGGAGGTGTCTGGGGCCAGAAACAACAGCTTAGTGGTAGACTATTTGGCTAGTTTGCTCCAAGCCTTGGGTTTTGTACCCAGCATCACAAACGAAGAAGGAAACAGCAGTAGGTGTTCGGCGGTCCTGAGTGCAGTGCAGCTGTAGATAGAGGCAGGATCCACAGGCTAGAAGTGCTGGGTGTCTGGTCAACAACGCTGACATTCCATCATGCAGATTAAAGAGCCCGGGTTTCACTTGAACCACCTCTTATGGGATTGTTCTGGGAAATGCGGAGCTCACCATAGCTTTCACTTCTGACTCCAGAGGAATGGATCAACGCTCCAAATGGGCAATGGATGTGTTTATATCTGCACGCTGTCTAGACTCTCACTGATACAAGTCCTGCACGGAGCACATCTTAGCGAAGGCACAGACCCTCCTTCTGGGGTGGGTTTGACTCAGGAGCGTTTGCTTTACTGAAGCTGATTTGAGGGCTATGACAGTGTTACTTCCATCTGGGGAGAGAGGGATGCTTCATGGGGAACGGCTGTGTCTTCATAACGTGTTCTCTTGCAACTGTTCAACTCTCCTCCACCACAAAACCACAGGAGTGTGGCTGTGTCCCAAGCCAAGCTGTGTTTATGAAGACAGGTGGTGGCCCAGATTTGGCCCATGGGCTGCAGTTTGCCCTGGTATGGATGCCAACTCATTTGTATTCATTTAGTGTTCTGCCATATCTTCATGGCTAGGATGCTTACCGTGTACTGTGTCAATCAAACAAATGCAGCTGGTTGGTAAAACTCGGGCTAAGCATTGCAGTCACTCACATGCAGTGCTCGGTGGTGTTTGTTCACTGCCTTGGACAAGGGTGGAGAACACACAACTCACCATAACGGTGAAACTGACGGCTGCATGTGCTGCTGCACCTGTAATTGCAAGATTCAGGAGCATAGGCAGAAGGAGCCCAAGTTCAAGGCTAGCCTGGGCTACATAGTGACCTGACCACCTGAGTTCACTCCCTGGACCCCACCTTGCAAAAGGAAAGAACTGACTCCTGTAAGTTGTCCTTCGATCTCAACATGTGCTTATCAACACTGTGGTATGCGTGTGCACATACGTGTGGGCACACATACATAAATACTAATCTAAAAAAGAGGGCGTTGGAGCTGAGGAGAAGGCTCCGTGCCTTACACCCTCCTGGTGTCAAAGTTAACGGAGGAGTACTTGTGCTGGTCCAGCCTTGCTTCCCAGTGGGGCCTGTATCCGGGTCACAGGCTTCTCTCTCCAGGGGGCAATGGGACTCCATCAGAAGCACACAATCTTAAGAATGGGAAGGAAAATCCAGATTGCAAGCCTGGAATCCCAGCACTGGAGAGGTAGAGGTAGGAGGATTAGAAATCCATGGACAGCTGGCGAGGCGGCACATGCATTTAATCCTAGCGTTTGGCACACAGAGGCAGGCAGATCTCTGTGAGTTCAAGGCCAGCCAGGGATACATAATACATGGTGATATCCTGTCTCAAAACAACAACAACAAGAGAGAGACAGAGACAGAGAGAGAAAAGAAAGTAAGAAAAATCCATGGTCACCCTCAGCTACACAGTGAGTTAGAGGTCACCCTGGGCTACGTGAGACCTGTCTCAAAAAATAAGAAAAACAAACCCTTAAAAAAACTATTGGAAGCCGGGCGGTGGTGGCGCACGCCTTTAATCCCAGCACTCGGGAGGCAGAGCCAGGTGGATCTCTGTGAGTTCGAGGCCAGCCTGGTCTCCAAAGCGAGTTCCAGGAAAGGCGCAAAGCTACACAGAGAAACCCTGTCTCGAAAAACCAAAAAAAAAAAAAAAAAAAAAAAAAAAAAAAAAAAAAACTATTGGAGCCGGGCGGTGGTGGCGCATGCCTTTAATCCCAGCACTCAGGAGGCAGAGGCAGACGGATCTCTGTGAGTTCGAGGCTAGCCTGGTCTACAAAGCGAGTTCCAGGAAAGGCGCAAAGCTACACAGACAAACCATCTCGAAAAACCAAGAAAAAAAAAGAAAAACAAAAAACAAACAAACAAAAACTATTGGAAGCCCTGTTTCAAACAAATACAACCACTGGGGAAGGAATGGAGCTCTGTATAAGTTACTTTTCTATTGCGGTGATAAAACATGACCACAGGTAACTTCTGGAGGAATAAGAGCCCCTCATGGCAGTAAATGTCAGACATCATGGCAGGAACAGGAAGCTGAGAGATCTCATCTTTAACACCCCCCCCCCCCACACACACACACACACAAAGCAGAGAGGACCTGGATGGAGGCGAGAGGATGAACTCTCAGAACCCGCCTCCAGTGATCACTTCCTCCAGGAAGGCCACCCATCCTGAGCCTCCGGGGGACATAGGACCAG